AGTTTAGTAGCCCTTCTCTGAACCCTCTCTAAGGTATCAATATCCTTCTGAAGATACGGTCTCCAGTACTGTGTACAATACTCACTTTTACCTTAATAACCTTATGTATGAGGCTGTGTATCCATCCGCTTGTGTCAGTGAGATTGTCTGTGTATGCATGTGAGTATGCTTACTGCATAATTAAAAATTTTACTCTGAAAGGACCAATATTTTATATTGGAAAAAGAGATATATATATATATATATATATATATATATATAAAATATTGCCAGAGATAGCACTCCAAGGACTAATATAAAATATAACTTTTATTACCTTCACTAAAACAACACAAGGTCAACGTTTCAGCTTGATCCCCTCAAGCTTTCGTCAGGAGATGTCCTGACGAAAGCTTGAGGGGATCAAGCTGAAACGTTGACCTTGTGTTGTTTTAGTGGAGGTAATAAAAGTTATATTTTATATTAGTCCTTGGAGTGCTATCTCTTGCAATATTTTTTGCATTTTTGGCTGACAAGCACCGGGCATTGAATATTGAATTGGTGGAGTGCAAGATCTGTTTGGTTTTTTATATATGTATCATCTAGGGTTGCAAGACATAGCCTTACATATTACATGCGACAATATATGGCGCAATGACTTATGGGGCTGGCATAGATTTTTTTTTCCAGGGCTGCTTTGGAATCCCCAGTCCGGCCCTGAATGCAAGATGTATGCGTGAACTGCTTATTGGCATGATATACCAAAATGATATATTTACTGCTCTTTAGCATCAAATGCATGATCTGCTCATTGGAAATTCAAGCAGATTTCTACACAAAGTATCAAACTGAGACAAAAATAAAAAAAAAACACGAAAGGCAGCTATGATTGTATCGTAAATTAATACAAGGTGTACATGCATATAATAAGCAACATTAATAGGCAAATCATAATACTGCAGTAGATTTAAATCAACTAACAGGAAAACATAAAGGGTAGGGATGGATGGAAAAATACTTGCTTCCTGTCAATACTAAAATTAATTAAAAGATTATACACTAAAGCTAGTATAATCTTCAATTTTACAACATGACAGGAGGCTGCATATTTTCCTTTTTTAATGTTGTGATAAAAAAGAGAGAGAACGTGGCAGGAGGAGATAATTAAAAATAAAAGGGCCAAAGAAGCCACTGCACCCCATATGGAATGTCCTCCGAATGAGTAAGTAACACCTCCTAATGCAAGTAGCTATCCTATAGAGTGTAGTGGAAGATATGGATTTGTGTGGTCATACAAAAGTTGGAACATCTTTGTGCCCATACCCTCATATCGTGGTAACGTGGCCCAGGATTTCAGCATGTCTGAGATGAAGGAATATCCCTTCAAAAAAGTGTTGTTTGCCATACAGGCTAAGGGTCTGATCATGTCCAGGAGTTTGTCTCTCTTTATATCCTTTTGAGGGCTTCAACCCATATGTGTTATAAAGGTAAGCATTAGCAAGTTAAACTCAGGGGTCTGAGAAACTTTATCCAGCAGAACCGGCCTTGGGCACTCTGCATGTAATCTATTGCACACTTCATTCTCCAGGGACTTTTTAAGTCATAAATGCATTCATTTCGCCAGGTGGTCAGGTGGAGTCCATTACGCCGAATGGGGATGGCATATATCACGCAGATTTGTCTTCCTCCGGCATTATCGTCAGAAGTGGAGTGTTCAGCTTGACACTCATCCACCACTGCTATGGATTGAGGGAAGTTTGAGTCATCCTTATCCGTAGATTGAAAGATCCTGGCATTTATTGCGCTTCAACTGAGCCTTCCGCTAGTGCTTCCAAGGTTTGCCCATACCTTTTAATTGGTGCTTTGTTGGATGGGAAATCCTCTTTGAGGAGGAATAGGAATCGCCAAACTCAGCTGAGTAGCGAGCATGTGGTCTGGGGTTAGACAGCGACTAGTTGGTAGTTGGGAAAACTCGTTTGAGAGGGCTTTTTCTACAGGGGCAGATAAAGTGGTGTTTATCGTGGACTTAAAGTCCACAGAAACCCAAGGTGTATTAAAGTGGGTGTAATGAAGACAGACTGATGCTTACCCAAGGCTACAGACTGAAGAGCAGGTTCATTAGATGCCACAATATATAATGAAATAATATCCACTCTTTACAGGATAATAAACAAAAAGTACAGAGAGGCAGAATTTAGGATACAAATAAAAAGTCCTCGCCTTGCAGCATACATAATGTAAAGGTTTGACCACCTTGGTCAACTTGCAATAATTAAAAATGTATGCAATATAAAGTAGATGTACACAGTTTGAGTAATGCTGTGACAGTGGATAGCAAAGACCCTCTTAACTAGGTCAGCTAGTGAGGGTTTAAAGCCTATATCAGTAATGCCTTATAGCCAGCTTCACAACAGTGCAGATCCTGTCTGTCAAGCAGAGTTATCATTAAAAAAAAAACCCTAAGCAAAAGGTAGCATTCGGTTGATGTCCTGCCCTATACAGTTGGTGCTGTTTGTGGCCAAATGTCGGCATTTGTGATCATCTCAGAAAGATGGTGGCAGAGATCTCACAATTTGTAAGATCCAAGATGGTGGCCATGGGAAAATGTGTCTCAGAAGGCAGTGAGTTCCCAGATGGAGTGGAAAAACCTACCCCACATACTCGGAACCCTAGGGAATTGGTGGACACTGGATTAAAACGTGTCCCCGCATTGGAGCACGGCGTAGGAGCAGTAAATGCAAATGTCTCGTGACATTAAGTAGGTGACAAGAGGACACAGAGGGCAAATAAGGAAAGAAAAGTCCTATAGTCTGGAGAAAACCAAAATAATGCCCAAATATCAGCTATGTACTGCAGCTATTTGTTGCTTATATTTTTATTATGCTGTTGAGCCAGTTTTGAGGCATTTAGTCCACCAAACTCTCCATCCTGCAAAATTTTAGCAATCTGACAGCCTTCTTTCAAAATCTCTCTATTGCTCTCATTTAACTGCAAAATTATTTTTTTCTCTTTGTACAGCCATCCTTTCCTACATAACAATGCTCCGAACATGTCTCCCTCAGTTTCCCTGTATCTTGCTCCTTAGAAATGTCAATGTTTACCTACGTAGCCATGCTGTAATGCTTCCCTGAGATATAGTAGCATGTGATTGTCCTTCACAACAGCTGGGCTGAAATTAATCTACAACTGTGATCAGGTACATAATTCGCAAGATGACCTAGCAGCTATAATTAGTGACCAGATCACAAAGGGTGGTGAAATGTTTGAGAATGAAAATAATTAGAAATATAAAAGCGCTAAGTAAAAAAAATGAAAATAGGGGGGGAGAAAAAAAAATTTGAAAAAAGTCCTCCTCACCACCTTGAAATAGTATATTCCTTAAATAAAGGGTTAAACCTAAATAAGCTGCTGCACACCTGTGTGTACCCAAAATCTACACACAATTAGATTTGAAATTAGAAAGTATACTTATGCAAGTGGGGCGCTAAATGATCTTCAGGATCTCAAAAGGATCTTAAAGTTGCTTCGGCTCAGATATGCATAGAAAATATAAAAAGCATATAATAGTGAAGTACAGTTAAAAATGTAATACCTTTATTAGTCCACACTAGACACAAAACACTCCTAACGACACTTAAAAAACAAGTGTCATGAATACTACAATAATAGCAGAAACAAAATTAAAAGAATAAAAATAGCCTCTTACAAGATGAATAAAGTGAGTATATGCAGTTCCCAGCTGCTACTCACATACGCTTGGGGTGCTCATGCACACGCTCAATTGGTAGTATGGCCGGCTTGCAGGAATCCTCCACGGATAGATAGTTCCACTGTAATCGCCGGTATACTGTTAGTCAGAGCGTTGGCTTTCAAGTCTTCCAGGTTCTCACGTAAATCCGCCCACTTTGCGTCACCTCGTAACCTGCGTCGTTACATCACCTTGTCGTCTACGCGTTTCGCCGTAAAGCTTCTTCAGGATGTTAGACGGTGATAGTACAACAACTTGCAAGTCCTCTATATGAGGCAGTCCACTTACACTCTATTGGATGAGTGTGGAGTACCTAATTTGCATAATTGCCGCTAAGCATAAAAGTCAGCACATTTGCATATAAGTGGCACATCAATATAAAATCTACATACTGTCTCAGACACAAAGCAACAGTAAGATAACAATAAGACATCATGATGGTCTATTTAACTATTCAATTAACTAAAAATAATTCAGATGAAAGGATTAATCCAAGCACAAAAACTACTTCTTTGAAGTGATTTAAAGTGGTCATGGTGCCCAGAGTCTGTATGAAACCCCCTCACACACACACCTTTTTAAGTAGTAAAGCCATTCAGTAATGGTTTGACTTCTTACTTGGGGTCCACTGGGGGCCGCACCCTGCCTTTTCTCATCTGGAAGCGCTCTGCATTAAGCCAATTAGCCTGCTCTGCATTGCAGGGCTTAGCTCAGGATAGCTGACAAAAGCTCTTAAGAAGCAGCTTCTGTCTCTCATTAAGGCTAAGACTCGGCAGGGTGCAGCAAGAAGTAAAAACGTTACTAAACCATATGACTGCTTACATTGGGAGGGGTCATCAAGGTACTACTGGCATCATAGCCACTACACTGCACTGTGGTCATTATAGTGCTTGGAGTGTTTCTTTAACAAAACATGCCACAAAACGCTTCAATTTCTTGATATGAACGCTATGGAGGAGAAAAGGGATTTTGATAAGGGAAAACAAAAACGTTGGTCCATATATCAAGGTTTACTAAGGTTAGAACATGAATATTTAATTGAAAGAGAAGCATCAGATAAGATAATGCTTCTATTTGGAGGGTGGGAAACCGATGGATATTATAAAAAAAATATTTGCCGTTTGCCCAAATCTTAGTTGTTCAACAGATCTTTTAAATTCCTTAACTCTAAAGATTCATACAGTGTATATGGCAACAATAAGAAAACTAAGACAAATGCTTAGAGTTCTGTAGGAAATTCTGATTGGAGTTAGCTTCATTAAAAAGGGAGCAAAAATCATTGTACTGAAAAAACAAAGTGGGTATGTATGGGTTTAGGTAGGCATATAGTATCAGCCATTGGGGTGTCCTTGAACCATTGGCAAAGTGGCTGGTTTTCCTATTTAAGAATACAGTGGAAATGGTACCAACTTGCATAAAGGATACTCCCAGTTCATTAAAACTCCTGCATCAAACCATACTTCCAGACGAGACCACCTAACTGGTGAGATGTGACGTCAAGGGCCTCTACACTATTATCCCACATGAAGCCGGCATTGAGGCAATGCGCAAAGTACTACAGAATTCCACAGTATACAAAGCCCCCCACATAGAATTTGTGCTGGAGGAATATTTAAACATCCAACTACTTCAGGTTTGAACACACCTGGTACCAGCAGACATCAGGCACGTCTATGGGGGCAGCCATGGCTCTGATGTATGCCAACAGCTACATGTTTATATTTGAGTCCCTACGCATCGTACAACCTTTTGCTGCAAATATAATCTTCTACTGTCGATTCATTGCTGATATGTTTAAAATAGGGAGAGGAGACCTGGATTCCATCACACCAATTGTAAATTTGATTAAAGAACCACCCACACCGGTCAAATTTACAATGACCGCAAGCCCCACAGAAGTCAACTCCCTCGATGTCCACATCTACAAGAACCAGTCCGAATTGGCATACACCCTCTATACCAAAGCAACAGATAGAAACACAATACTCAAAGCAGACAGTTTCCATCCAAAACCCCTCAAGGAATCACTACCACTCTCTCAATTTATGAGGGTAGTGCGTAACAATTATGATCCTGTGAATACCCCAAAACAGATTAAGGAGATGTGGACCAAATTCAGAGACAACAGCTACAAAGACTCAACCCTACAACAAGTCACTGTGATCACTGATCCTATATGTCAGCCAGTGATGTAAAATCACTGGCTGACACTGTCTCTGCCCCCTGTCCTGTAAAAATAAATAAAATATTAGTAAAAAAAAAAAAAAATTACAGTTAAATATAAAATATACTTAGATCATATATATTATATATATATGATCTAAGTATATATATATATATATATATATATATATATATATATATTTATTTATTTATTTATAAAATATTTTACCAGGAAAGATACATTGAGATTTCTCTCGTTTTCAAGTATGTCCTGGGTATATATACACACACACACACATTTACACATACACGAAGTGTATTTAAATATTAATATATATAATTATTTATATATATATTACTATCAAATTACACGTAGACTAATACTGATTAAATATATATATATATAATTATTGTTATATATATATATTTATATATAATATAAAAAATGTAAATACGTAAAAAAAATAAAATTTAAAAAATAATTAAAAATAAATAATAAAAAAATATATAGATGTTTGTTATTTCGTTCTAACTGTATTGTGATATTAATATATATATATATTTATATCAAAATACACGTAGAACGAAATAATATATATATCTATATACATAAATATATACATATATATCACTAAATATATACACCTATATATAAATAAAAATATTTTAAAAAATTATATATATATATGTATATATACACACATATGTATATATATACATATATTAATTCTACACATATATTTATGTAATATTTTTACATAATTAGGTATCCTAATTAATTACAATTAGCGGGACCTGCCTGACAACCCATGCCGAAAGTATAAGGAATTTAATTTGCTAGCACTATATTTAACCCTATAACTTTCCAAGACACCATAAAACCTGTAAATTGGGGGTACTGTTTTACTCGGGAGACTTCGCTGAACACAAATATTAGTGTTTCAAAACAGTAAAATGTATTACAACAATGATATCGACAGTAAAAGTGAAGTTTTTTGCATTTTTCACGCACAAGCAGCACTTACACGGATGATATTATTGCTGCAATACTTTTTACTGTTTTGAAACACAAATATTTGTGTTCAGCGAAGTCTCCCGAGTACAACAGTACCCCTCATGTACAAGGTTTATGGTGTTTTCAAAAGTTACAGCGTCAAATATAAGGCTTGCATTTCATTTTTTTCACATTAAAATTTGCCAGATTGGTTACGGTGCCTTTGAGACCCTATGGTAGCCCAAGAATGAAAATTACCCCTATGATGGCATACCATTTGCAATAGTAGACAACCCAAGGTATTGCAAACAGGGTATGTCCAGTCTTTTTTAGTAGCCACATAGTCACAAACACTGGCCAAAATTGGCGTTTTTTGCATTTTTCACACAAACAGATACTAACGCTAACTTTGGCCAGTGTTTGTGACCAAATGGCTACTAAAAAAGACTGGACATACCCCATTTGCAATACCTTGGGTTGTCTACTATTGCAAATGGTATGCCATTATGGGTGTAAATTTCATTCCCGGGCTACTATACAGTCTCAAAGGCAACGTAACCAATCTGGCAAATTTCAATTTCAACGTGCTATATTTGACCCTGTAACTTCCCAAAACGCCATAAAACCTGTACATAGGGGGTACTGTTTTACACGTGAGACTTTGCTGAATACAAATATGTGTATTTTATTGCAGTAAAAGCAAACAGTATTATGACACTGACCATTAAAATGTCATGTAGAACTAAAAAAATCAAAAAAAATCTTATTTTCTCCCATTTTTTTCATATTAAATTATGTTTCATAGCTAAATATTTGATATTAAATGAAAGCCCTGTTTCCCCTGAATAAAATGATATATAATAAGGGTGGGTGCATTTACTATGAAAGAGGTGTATTACGGTTGGACAGACATGTAGCGCAAATGCCAGGTTTTGTTTACATTTTGTTTCGTTCACACTGTGTACATTTGGCTCCGTCCTTAAGGGGTTAAAAGACCAGGAGCATATTCTGTATAAAATTTGCAGTACAGTGACATTTTGGTTTGTTTGAATTATTTTCCCCAAATTGTTTGCATACCTGAAATTTAAATGAGCCACATCAATGTAATTTGGTCGACTGATGTTTTGTTTAATTTATTTAATAAATTTTATTATTTTTTTTTTACAAATTAATTTGGTCAAGCAGAATTGAGTAAAATAAGAGAGAACATTCTCTATTATTTGATATCCTTTTCAGTTTACTGCAATTACCAGTTCGTCTCCTTTGTGTTAAAGAAGAAAAACAAAAATGGTATATTAACACATTTTTTTGGAATGTGTTAAAGTTAATAATAAATAACAAGTGTAAGGTTTTATAAAGAGACAAACCTATGACATCTGGAGTTTATTTGCGTTCATGTTTTTAATATCTCTATTGTTATGAGCATCACCTTATTGTGCTTTTTTGCGTGTTGTTTTAACATTATTTTACAGATAATTAAACTGTATATTTTGCCTAAATTTCTGGCCCAAGTCATCTGCTATTTTCTATTTGGAATCAAGTCCCAGCTTTTTGGCTCATTGTTAAAATCTATTTTGTAAACTTCTTTTGTCACCTTGGCTGAAAATATTGCACAAGGTGTACTCACCCTCTTCTCTGCAATGTACATGTTAAACATTGACTTTTTGAAAGCTCCCAAGTACAGATTCGAAGTGTAGACAGCTCCCCCACCCTATGTAATTTAACATTACGCAACTATTTCAAACTATATTCTATTAGGCCTCTAATGGGTCTATTACTGCAGCTTGACTTCTTCGAGTTGATTGCATTTCCTCGCTAAGTGCTTGTTTAATTATACAGAACTCTGAGCAACAATTTGGTGATTGTGGATAAATGAATGCATTGAACGTTAGGATTATATAAATACTCTTCTTAAAGGCTAGATTGATCTTAATCAATCGTATTCACAATCACAGATGGCGTGATTTTGCATTTGTCCTTTTTCGCTAATGTGTTTGTTTTATTAAGTTTTGTTTCATCGATTCGAGTTTGTAATGGCAGTGGTAATTAATTGTACTGTAGTGTCACAGTCCTTGCTATGTGACACTCTTGTGCTTTTGAATTAACATATTTAAGTTGTCTTACATTGATTATCAAGATATCAGGGTTTTTTTTTTGTTTGTTTTTTAAATACCATATTCAGAATAGAATTGTATTTATTACAAAGTGAACCCAGTTATCTACACTTTTTGTCCAAGAATCCCCATGGTGACCACCTTAACGTTTTAAAGCACTAACCTTTTGAGTAACAATTATACAAAATATCAAGAGCAATTCAATAAAGGTCAGTAACTAAATTATGTACATGATACTTGGCATGGCACCAACCCCCTACCCAAATACACAGACACATAAATATGGATTAAAAATTGTTACTGTGGATGTGTCTCTTGTTGATTGTGCCGGTAATGCAAAAATAACGTAGTGCCTCATCATTGATGTCGAAATGTTATCTATAGTTATTTTATAAGAAAAGAGACAGATATTGGTTAAACAGCTGATGAACAAGCAAAATGCCTCAGTTGTGACATAGGTTGCAAAACTATGTTTAAAAAAAACTAAATAAATGTAAAATTAGTATAAACAGCTGTGCCTAAACACAATAGTGTATGGATTAAATTAACCAAACATACATACAGATGCCATCTGTGCAAATGTGGATGTGATAATCTCCAGAAAACACGTAGATTAAGGGAAAATAAATAATAATGCCTGAGAAGAAGTATAATGTAAATTATAAAAAGAATATAAAATGTATATATAATAGAGAGCCATCCATAGCTTTGTTTAGGAGATTTGCATAATATATATAGTTGTATGTAAACTCTTGGCGTGCTCTAACAAAACAAAAAACAACAACATATATTTTGTTTGCTTTCTATTTGAAAAGTCAATCTCTGCAGTAAATAAAGGAAATGAATACACAGGTATTTCCAAGTTAGTATGCGTTGATTAATACCATGTCTGATGGCACCATGACCACTTCAGTGATTTGAAGTGGTCATGGTGCCTGGAGTCTGGATATGAGGATTTCTCTATAAAAATGCTGCACATATGGAGTTTAACCCTTTTGCTGCTAGATGTGTATCTCCACCACCGGCAGCATCTTTGCGATTTTGCCTTAGTCACTCTGCATGACTACGGAACTGTTATCACGGTAAATTCCAGTAAGGACTTATTCTACTGGTCTCTTTTTCCTCTGACCCAGGACGTATAATTATTAGTCTCCAGTTCTATCCTTTCTTTATTGTAGGTATATTTTACTCACTATCAAGGCTCCACTCCAGAACCTCAGAGTTACACTGTTCCGCCCCTATGTGACCTTCTGCGCTCTCTGTCTAAAGTTGGTTAAAGCTACATCTCTGCTCAGAATAACTAAATGTTGATTCAAACAATACTATTCACTAATATACTAAGACCTCATAAGGGGAGTTCTGTTATGTTCTTATAATGATGCAATCTCAGTTATTGAAGTATTTCATTTAAGAATCAGAGGCAGAGCCAGCACAAGCCAAACATAGCCCTGGCCAATCAGAATTTCCTAATAGAGATGTATTATATGAATGCATCTCTATGAGGAAATTTCAGTGTCTCCATACAGAGAGAGGAGGCACTGAATGTCAGTGGTACACAGTGTGCAGCACTGCCCCAGGAAGCACCTCTAGTAGCGATGTGGAGAGTGGAGTTATCCCCAGGCTGTAATGTAAATATTACATTTTCTCTGAAAATACAGTGTTTACAGCAAAAAGCCCAATGGGGATGATTATACTCAACAGAACAAATACAATAAGCTGTAGTTGTCCTGGTGACTAATGTCCCTATAATAAATAAAGTTGAAAAGGAGATAGATATTCCAAGGCAATGATCCATAACACTCAAAATCAATTACAACCACAGAAGGTTAAGGTTTTGATCTTTCTATGCAGTTCCACAAGTTGAATATTTTTTCCATGCTTTTCTTAATGAAAAATCTGCTCACTTAAAAGCAGCTTTACATTC